CTCAACCCCTTCCTCCGCAATTCCCCCTTAACCCCCTCCCCCTCAACCCCCGCCATCCCACACCGCCGCTACTCTGTTTTCTCATCCCGTCGTCACACCTGGCCATCCTTGTATCATGTCAATCCGCTATTGCAGCCACCTACTCTAGCCTATCAATAGTCTGGAACTTTGCATATCATCAAAATCAGTCTTAAAATAGCATAGCTACATTGTTTCCTTTACCCGTATTTGTGTCCTAATTGCAATTGTTAAGGCCTAGAACCGGGGATTCTTGTTACCAATCCTTGGTGCAATTATAACCAACCTGTTGCTTATAATGCATTCTGTGCTGAATCCTCCAGTAGTCACAACCAAGAATGAAGTAGTAGTTTATAATATTAAATTGACAATACAGTTTGCAGGCGCAACACATTGTGTAGTCATTAGTGGCCCGTTTGTCTGCTAAATGGTTGTGCCGGAGAATGTAACATATTTTGCTGATCAGGCTGTGTTGACCTTGCCTCACATTATCAACAAATGATGTAATTTTAACTATGTCAGGCAGACAGTAAAACTGTTTCAAAATTAAGTGAGGGCATGAAATGATTAATGATGAGGTTAATGGATATTTTGTCTAATGATTTTGTAAAAGGCCTAAAGTGAATAATAGAAGCCAATGTGTGCTTAACGATAGGTATGAATTCAGAATAAACTGGAAGTCACAACTAAGTACTTGACAACTGTATGTGATATAGAGTGAGCATAATACATTTTTGAAGAAAATGTAAAAATAGATAATTTGGTACACATCTAATGTATAAATGCCAAAGCAAATGAGGCAAGTGATATGAATGCAGTATTCTTATTAAAAACAAATAAACTATACCAGCTAAATGTATGCCTTTTAATATCAAATTCTTATTAAATTCTAAATACAAAAATGTATTAATGAAAGTTGTTCAGTGCAACACTTTTGGAAGCAAAAATATTCTAGATTCACTATTTTAATTTTGTAGAACTATAATACATTTATTAAACTTACCTATTGTGTAATGTTATATTTTGTTGGTAATTTAATACATATTTATCAAATATGATGATAACTATTTTATGAGTGCCAGACGCTCTAAAGCTTTATTCTATTGTCTAAATGAGTAGTAAAATTAAAAAGGGCTATATGCTTGTAATAAATAATAAATGTATTGTCTTTGAAATGAACTCCACAACATTCTTTGAACACTTAATAAGGCTTCTAAAAAAATGTGGGATTTCAACACTTATGATTAAGTACATGTTGTGCCTTTTTAAGCATTTTCCACAATATTATTTCTATTCTTTGGTTTCATTAGTTCACCTAAAAAAGTTGACATTGAAAGTACGGAAATATAGGATATGTTGAATTAAAATTTCCAAAACAAACTTTTCCAACTGTTCTAGATAATTTACAAGTATTATTGTAGGGCTGATGCATCTGATTCTATCAATCAAAGATTAACCATTAATTTTTTTTTGTCTTTGAAAAGCATTCTCATCTATAAATGATGGCTATAAGTATTTCATTTTTAAGGAGTACTTTAACATTACGTTGAAATATACAGTCATGATTACCATTTTCAAATTGGCATTGTATGTTATAAAACAGTATTATAATCTTGTTAAAATTAAAATTGTTCAGTTTGGAAAACACAATGAATTATAATTAGTAATTTTAGTTTAATTATAATTTCTTCTTTACTGTAATTTAATGTATCATAAATCTTAAGTAATTTAAATACTAATTCTTGGAAAGGTCCATACAGAATGCGAGTCCAAGTAAATATGCCTTTGTTTGTGGAAAGTTAGTTATATTTTTTCACAAGATTCCATTGAGTTCCTAAATTTGCTGTCATTTATTTGGACCTTTTAATTGGTACCTAGTTAGAATGTGTTCATAAAATACTTTTGATATTTTTTGTCAATATAATATAGGCAAAAATAATTAATTATGATTTGTCAGGTAGGACAATGTACAAGGAATATGAAACAAATTGTTGAGACTTATTTTCAAAAGAATCCCTTTGTGAAGAACTGTTGAATCTTGTATGAATTTAATCTGTTTATAATGCAGTATTAAGAACTATTGGTTAGAATTTTTTGTCTGAGTGAATCTTATTATTAAGTACTGTTTTGATATGACAGGCACAGCTTCACATGTTAGTACAGAAGTCTGGTAGAAAGCGAGTAGCAGATTGAAATCTGTTCAAAAAAATTCTAGTATTTAATGTGCTTGAACAAAATGGTTTGTTAAAAACAGTTCATATCTGTTATTTTGTGCAGAATTTATTCACGAAGAACATCGAGATCTGTAACCAAGAACCTTTTTGGTCAGAACTCTAAACCCATTTTATTAGGCCAAAATAAGTTTTTTGATATATCACATATGAAAAAGAACCGAATCTCTTCTCCTTCTGCTGCGGTTTACTATTTAGAACAATGTGTTGATAAAGAACTCTTAGTTTATCTGCTATTTGCTACTAAATTTCTCTTCCTGAATATTGTGGCTTTATTGAAAACAAATGTTAAATTTTGTTAAACTAAAAATAGCTCTTAAGATAATTGTTGTGAAGATTAGTATGATGATGTAAAGAACTGATTAAAAACTGTTGAAGTTGTGGAACCAAACGTTTTGTTAAAAACTGATAAGCCGAATTTTCTGCTACATTTTAATTGAGATTTGTTGTTTATAATTTATTCATTAGTGAAGCACTGTTGCAATTTATTTAATCTAATTATTAAGACATAAGAAATCTTGAAAATAAAACTGATGATAACAACAGATGAGATTTATTAAAACTTTCAGGGTTTAGTCCGATGAGAAATGTTGAGGTCTGTTTGTAACTGTTTGAGGATCTGATTAAGTACAATTATATCGATATTAATACCACTTTAATTTGTTAATAACAAACTATTGAGATATGTTAATAACACTCGGTTGAGATCTGCTAATAACAAATTTGATATACTTCAATAAGTAACTTTCGAAATCTGTTAATGCTTCTTTACATACTTATGACTGTTGAAATTCGTTAATGATATTTCAGAAGTGTTAACTTGGGTTGAAATATGTTAACTTGTGTTGAGATGGGTTAATGTTTGTTAAGATGTGTTAACTTTTGCTGAGATGTTTTAACGTTTGATGAGTTGTTAACGTTTGTTGAGACTTGTTAACGTTTGTTGAGACTTGTTAACGTTTGTTGAGACTTGTTAACTATTGTTGAGACTTGTTAACGATTGTTGAGACTTGTTAACGATTGTTGAGACTTGTTAACGATTGTTGAGACTTGTTAACTATTGTTGAGACTTGTTAACGATTGTTGATACTTGTTAACGATTGTTGAGACTTGTTAGCGATTGCTGAGACTTGTTAGCGATTGCTGAAACTTGTTAGCGATTGCTGAGACTAGTTAGCGATTGTTCAAATGTGTTAGCGATTGTTCAAATGTGTTAGCGATTGTTCAAATGTGTTAGCGATTGTTCAAATGTGTTACCGATTGTTCAAATGTGTTAACGATTGTTGAGATGTGTTAACGATCGTTGAGCAGAATTGACGTGTGCGTTGGCGGCGGTGCGCAGGTGAACCAGGACACGGACGTGACCATCACGGGCGTGTACGTGAACAGCACGCTGACGCGGTCGACGCGCCACGAGGGCTTCTGCGCGTTCGCCGGCATGGGCATGCAGTACCGAATCTCGTCCACGTCGCACACGCAGACGGAGTCGGTGGCCACGGAGGCCACGCTGCTGCCGCACCCGCCCGGCGCCGCCGGCTCCGACAGGGTGAGCCCTCGACAGAGCAGCGGACCGCGCGTGCGTTAGGCAATGCAACCAACCGGTGTTTCTAAATTAAATTATTAATGCTTGATCGATGATCAAATTTAAAGTATTCTTGTTGATAAAACATCGATGTTATTAACAACGACCCCAAACCGTCGATGTTAAAAACCGACCCCAAACCGTCGATGTGTTTAGCAACGACCCCAAACTGTCGATGTGTTTAGCAACGACCCCAAACCGTCGATGTTATTAACAACGACCCAAAACCATTGATGTTATTAACAACGACCCTAATCCGTCGATGTTATTAAAAGTGACCCCAAACTGTCGATGTTATTAACAACGACCCAATATAATAATTGTCATTAACCATCCAAAACCATCTATGTTAATAACAATGACCCATCCATCGATGTTATTAACAACGACCCCAATCCGTCGATGTTATTAACAACGAACCAAAACCATCGATGATATTAACTCTGACGCCAAATGATCGATGTTATTAATGACCTCAAACCATGGATGATATTAACAACGACCCAAAACCACCGATGTTATTAGTAACGACCCAAAACTATCGATGTTATTAACAACGACCTAAAACCTTTGATGTAATTAAGAGCGACCCTAAACCATCGATGTTATTAACGACCCAAAACCATCTATGTTATTAACGATCAAAACCATCGATGTTAAGGAAAAATGCAGTATACTGTATAGAGTGTCTACTCAAGGCAGGGGTTGCCAAAAATTGTGTTCCATTCAGAGAGTGCTCCAGGAGTCCCTTTTCTTTACGCTTTTGGTTACCTGAGAAGTCATAGCCCCATTGCATTCCGACCGGTATTTCGGGAGAAGGAGAAAACAGCGTAGTTAAGTTTCCATTCATGAGTTACGCAAATATATCGAGAGGAACATCGAACACTGCTCAAGGTGGCAGAATCTTCAAATCAGTATATGTTAAGTAAGCGAGTTGGGAAAATACTGGTGATTGGTTTAAGTTTTTTCCCCACAAACTATTAAGTGTTTTCAACTGCCGCGGTCATCGAAAAACCGTGCACATGCTTCTTGATATCAGATAGAAGTTGATCGATTATAATCGACATCACTTTGAATCATACCAAGGGAAAGGTACGGGTACCTGAGCAAGCTTCCTCCTGTTCTCGTCAAGGAAACCAAACGGGATGCAATCAGGCTATGCCTTTTGGGAGATACAGATAAAAAAGGTTTGAGGTAAGTTTTACCGGGTGCAATCGGGCTATGTCTTTTGGGAAACATATAAAAGTTTGAGGGTAAGTTGACCACGGGATGCAGTTGGGCTGTCTTTTTGATGATACAATAAAAGGTTTAGAGTAAGTTGATCGTGGGGTGCAATCGGGCTATGTTCATTTTTGGGAATACATATAAAAGTTTGAGGGTAATTGACCACGGGATGCAGTTGGGCTGTCTTTTGATGATACAGATAAAAGGTTTAGAGTAAGTTGATCGTGGGTGCAATCGGGCTATGTCTTTTTGGGAATACATATAAAAGTTTGAGGGTAAGTTGACCACGGGATGCAGTTGGGCTGTCTTTTTGGATGATACAGATAAAAGGTTTAGAGTAAGTTGATTCGTGGGGTGCAATCGGGCTATGTCTTTTTGGAATACATATATAAAAGTTTGAGGGTAAGTTGACCACGGGATGCAGTTGGCTGTCTTTTTTGATGAATACAGATAAAAGGTTTAGAGTAAGTTACGCGGGATGCAATCGGGCTATGTTCTTTTTGGAATACATATAAAAGTTTGAGGGTAAGTTGACCACGGGATGCAGTTGGGCTGTCTTTTTGATGATACAGATAAAAGGTTTAGAGTAAGTTGATCGTGGGGTGCAATCGGGTTATGTCTTTTAGGGGATACAGATTAAAGGTTTAAGGGTAAGTCGATCGCGGCATGCAATCAGAATGCGTCCAAAGGAAACAACTACTGAAAAATGAAAGCGAGGAGAAAATATGGGGTCGGTGACACCTGGTTGCGCTCAGTACGGACCTCAGGACAGTAGCTAGCTACGTAGGTAAGCACAAAAACGAAGTCTCTGAATGTAATATTACGAGTGCAATGTTAATTAAATTATTCCATTGCGCTAAAGGAAGCAATTTGTATGTTTTGGGGTCGTGAAGCTATATATATATATATATATATATATATATATATATATATATATATATATATATATATACATATATATATATGTATATGTATATTGACCAGAAGCTAATACAGAGCCATGTCAGTTTGGGCTCAACATCGTTGCGAAACGATGAAAATCACGACCGAGATGAGCTGCAGCTGTGGCAACATTGTTGACCGGCGAGTTTAAGGGTTTGAGTCTCTACGGGGGCGCATATTCGACACTAGCTACATTTTGGGGCCAAATAGTGTCTGGAGGAGAATTTTACCATCAGGCCGTTTTCATAGGTGTTGTTTCCGTGGTTACTCTGAATGATATGAGACGAATGCCGAAGCAATTGCTTAAAAAGACGGCATAGGACAGCGTGCGATCTTTCGATCTTCTTTATCCTTAATCTCCCTTCTCCTCTCCCCTCACACACACACACACACACACACACTTACATGCACTACACCATACACACTTGTGTGTAAATTAATCGATAGCGTTGGGCTTGTCGCAGCTGGAGCTGTACTCCGTTGGGGGGAGATACCTAGAGAAGAAAGCTCATGAAGGTCGTTGCTGGATCTCTCGTTCAGCGTGGGAAGAACATGTGATATAACGTGCACTACATTTTCGGGACTAATTACCTCGGTAGTTGTCGCGCCCAGATTCAGTGCTCGCATGCTACTCAGGTGTTAATTAGGTAATTTTTCTGAGGGGGGAATTGATATCTGGACGAGTAAAACGAAGATTACCTTCGCTCAACCAGCAGGGGATTAAATATTGTAAGAATGCTGATGTCTTGCGACCATGTTACCGATACATGATAGTATGACTCATACTAGCTCCCCCTTATGTCTCAGTTCGATACTGCCCGTAGCACATTTACCAGTTTAAACAAAAACATTCTCACTCTGCCAACAGATGACGGCGTTAGGCGAAAAATATTCGCTCGCAAATGTTTACAGGCTAAGAAACAAAACTGTTAAAACATTGATCTGTGTTACATGAACCACGAAGATACGTCTTCTGCTGGCAGCCGCTAAATGGTCGGCAAAGTGAAATTTGAAAACAATATCAAAATGCATTTCAAGATTTTTGAGTCCGACCTTGTATTTAATGATATATCGCTCATTAAAAATAAAATAAAATTTTAGACACACCCATTACGTTTATGATGTATTTCTATCATGTAAATTGTTATTGTTTCTGATAGAGGCCACACATTTAATTGTATTGGATATTGCTCACACGAATGTTTGCTCAGTGGTTGAAGTTAAAGATATGGACATTGACAATATAAGATTAATTATTTCTATACATACGATTCATTATGCACTCTTGTAAGACTTGGCGATATCCGTATCGAGCTATTGCTTTATTTTACCTCAAAATTGTTTTTACAGCAGCTTTATCTGGAATTTTATCGAATTTCTGTTAGTTTCATGATATATAGGGAGATAACCAGCTAAAATTGCAGCGGCGTAGATAAGGAAGCAGCGATTGTAAAAAATGCACAGATGATCGACATACGTATTTTTCGTGACATTATTGGATTATAATAATATTTTAAATGGAAGCATAAATGTTCATGCGCTACTCGTTTTTATGTTTTGACATTACGAAACAGTTGGAAGACATTTTGTAAAATTTATTTGACGACTCTCTTGTCTTTAGTTTTGGCTTCTCATTGTTTCTTCAATAAACCTTGCTTTAAGATTGTCGTGTTCATGAATCCTTACATCTACTTAACTTGCGATAGGATGATTGTCAGTTGTCCGTTGCTTTTCAGGTTGAATGAAGTTCAGATAAGTATGAAACTGGTATACGACACAAGGAGTGATATTGGGGGGAAAGTTCATGATTTTAGAAGATGGATGTAACGTTGGAAATCTATCTAGGACAAAAATATTCCACGTCTAGAGGAACACTTAACATTCATTTCTACCGATTATAAATGTTTGAAGCTCTTTTTATAATCACCTAAACGACATTATGCTCCTACGCTTTATACGACCTATTTCTTGGTTTACAGATCACACGAACACAACATTTCTTCAACTAATTTCAAACTTCTGTGTCAATTCTTTTCGATGTACTTCCGTTTCTCTTTTCATTAAACGCATTTCACTGGATAGTCTCTAAATGTAGTACCCCGTTGCTAGTCTCTAAATGTAGCCCCTTATTGACGAAATTGGCGGATTGTTGAATACACTCTCTAGCCATCTTGAAATATTTCGGCGCGCAAACCAAGAGAAAGGGGGAGAGAAGAGGCAAATAGGGAGCGAGAGTCTTGGCCAGAGAGAGAGAGAGAGAGAGAGAGAGATAGAGGGAGTTGAAGACAGTCGACGAGACAGAGATAGAGGCATAGTAGACGAGGGGGAAAGGGTGAGAGATGCGTAGAGGAAGATGGAGACAGACAGGGGAAGAAAGAAAGAGGGACTGAGGCCATCAGAGATGGAGATACTAAGACAGGAAAAGGTTGAGACATCGACTGGGAGAGACTGAGACAGATCGACTGGGAGAGTTCCAGAGATCGACAGGACGAGGTTGAAACAGATCGACACGTAGAGATTGAGGTTCACTTACAGGGAGAGATTGAGACAGTTCCAGAGGAAGAGATCGAGAGACAGTTCCAGAGGGAGAGATCGAGAGACAGTTCGAGAGGGAGAGATCGA